CCCCCCCCCCCCCCCTCCCTTCGTTAGCCGACAGAGCCACTTGTGGAAGGGGGGAGGAGTCCGGTGACGTCGATGTCAGAGGCGTGTACGGAGCCAAAGAACTTTGATCGATCAAACAAATTAACAATTAATCGTTAATTTCTGCAGCCCTAGAAAATACATGAAAAAACTATTATTAAATAGCTTTAATAAGTTTGGGTTTGTTTCCTACAGATGGATCCAGGAACAGGAATACCCCAGAGAGATGTCCCCGTCCTCTGTATTCCCGGGATTCCACACAGGAACATCAGGAGATCCCTCAGACCCGTCCTCTGTATTCCCTGGATTCCACACAGGAACATCAGGAGATCCCTCAGGAGGTAGGTGGGACTCAAAATCAAGTCTAATTTTCCTCTGAATCTCCTCTATAACTGTTGCAGATGTATACTACATCTAACTGTGTGCGCCATTTGTGTTTGTTTTGCAGCGTGAAGATATGATTAAGGTTGAAGTAAAGGAAGAAGTAGATGAGACAGATATGAGTGAGGATGATCCATGTAAGGAGGAGGAAATCCCTCCAGAGATCAGCACAGGTGAGTAATAAATCCAGAAAAGACTCCCAGATTCTCCTTGTTCAGTCACTACAACAATCTCTTCTTCTCCCCCCTCCTCTGTCAGTAGACAGTAATGGGGGGACGGTATGTGCCCAGTGGGGGAGTCAGGAGCCACTTTCCTCTCATCCTGTTATCGTGTGTTACCTGGGAAGAAGATCGTCTCTAAGCAAAGACCCTGGAAACACCGGCGTTACACAGGGAAATGTCTGCGTTGAAGAGCAGAAAGAAGGAATTGTGAAGGTTAAAGAGGAGGAAATTCCTACAGAGATCAGCACAGGTAAGAAAGTCACTACAACAATCTCTTCTTGTCTTCTGTCAGTAGACAGTAATGGGGGGGACGGAATGTTTCTAGTTTCTGGGGGGGGGGTAGGCAGTAAGGTCTTTCCCTGGGAGGCAGTGAGGTATTTAAAGTCCAGATTGAGTTAACTGGTAGGTCTTTTCTTGGACTTCTGAAGTCAGCATGTAATTAATATGTGCTAATCATCTTTATTCACAGACCCCATAGACACTGTTGTGGCTCATGTCAAAGTTGAGGAGGAGGAAATAAGATGTGTGAAGATCGAAGAGGAGGAAATCCCTCCAGAGATGAGCACAGGTGAGTAATAAATCCAGAAAAGACTCCCAGATTCTCAGGCTTCACTCTCATCTTCATTCACAGACCCTGGAGACATACAGGTCTATAGTATGCTGCTTAGACAGTAAGTGCACTTTTACTTATCTTTCCCATCTAGCCCCCCTGATCTAAAGTAACCCATCATGCATTAGACACATACTTTTAGGGCCACAGCCTGCTGCAATATTGACACCTGAGACTCTGGAAAGCATTGATAGAACCTACAGGCTGATGCCTACCCCCTCAGTTATCACCACAATCGAGTGATGGCAAAAGGCTGCACCCCCTCTGGTGTAGGCTCCTATGTTAAGGACTTGAGACCCCGCAAGCAGATCAAATCGGGATTCTTCGGAGGAGGGCGTGGAACCTCACTCGGGGCCTCTGTGGTCAGTCGATAATTAAATGTGAGACTTGGCTTATGAAACCCGGCATGACTGGAGGGAAGACTCCCTGGATAGAGCCAAGGGGGCGCTAAGGAGGACATAGACCTCAGGAGAGGGCAAATTCCAGACCACCGGTTTCAGGCACCTCAAGGGGGACACTACAGGAGGCACCAAATCCATTAGTAGACGTGGTTTGTGCCGGAGCCAGAAACTTACAACGGTGGAGTGTCTAGAACCAGGCGTGTTGCACCACAAGCAGGAAGGCCTTACACAGTAAGATATAATGAGGGAGATTTCAATGGCACCTGCTGGTCCTAGTAAGGTGGTAGTGCCTGGTACTCAGCCCATATGGCCTACTCCTAAAGTAAGTTCTTCTGACACATGGTAATGCTCTGGGGCCCCACGACTCTGGACCTGAGGAGCTCTCCACCACCAACTTGACCATTACGCTCTGGTCTAGAAAGCACCACAATACAGTGCATGAAGGTCAAATTCCAGGCCCGGGCAGGTGGAGTCCAGCGGGGGTCCAGGTATGGCACTCCAAAATCAAGCCAACCCAGATAGCTGCATACAGAGGTCATTGAAGACCCGACTAGCAGAGCAGATGTCCTTCCACCTAGGACACTAGAGACAAACTGAGGCATGCTGGGAGTGGGAGGGGTTTTAATGGGCCGGCCCACAACTTTCTGCCAGTGTCCAGTCCTGTAGACAATATAACCCCCGACTGTATCTGAACTCCTGGTTCGAGTGGGGGATGGGTTGCATTGTGTCTCAAGCGGGGACACAGACCTCAATCATGTCTGGTCAGATTTTACTCACCTTGCCACACAACTGACAGTTGTCGACCAAACAGAGAGCGAGGGACGGCCCGTTACTGGCCAACATCACCGGGACAACAGGAGACAAAGGGGAATCTCCTATTGGGGACAGTGAGAGTTATCCTCCTACTTCCTGTTGTGTCACTGGGACAGGAAGCCTTCAATTAAAAACTGGTAGGAGCTTCTTACAAACCAAAGCTGCTGAACTCCAGACACATACAGGATAAGACACATTCAGTCACACATCATTATTTATAAATGCAAGCAGTATCGGTGCCTGGCTTTTATTTTCAGCCTCTCGCAGAGCTTAGACTGGGAGAGGATGGAACAACACAAGGAGTGTATCAGTTGTGCTGCAATGCCGATGCGCTATGAAGGAACATGCTGATAGGAGGAGAGAGCAGAGAGATGAGCTCATCAGTCTGCCGGGGGAGAGACAAGACCTGTAAATGTTCAAGTCTATCTCTAGTTTTCGATAGAGCGGGCAGGGGTTAGAGCAAGGGCGGGCAACCTCCGGCCCTCCATCTGTGGGGGGGAACTACAAATCCCATGAGGCATTGCAAGACTTTGACCAGCACGACTCCCAGAAGCATGATGGGATTTGTAGTTTCACCACCGCTGGAGGGCCGGAGTCTGGCTACCCCTGGTTCAGACCCGTCTATTTGTACCGGTGACCCCCTGCGAGGAAGGTGAGGGGCAATCCAAAGTTGTAGAGTTTTATTCACCTTCATCCCCCCCCCCACCCCCCCATTTATTTGTTCCAGATGGACACAATACAGAGCA